AGTGACAATAGCTTCAGACAGGAGAGCCATTTAGCCGATCAAGTACCTCCTACATCCATAGATGTTGCTGGGAATGAGATTATGCGTAATCCCCGTGATGAGTATGAGAGGTTAGTACATGACACATCTTAGCAGAACACGACCACTCTCGCACACTTAGGTATGGATTGTCTGGCATCCACACCCAATCCCTGGATTATTGATTCTAGAGCCTTCGATCAAATGACTGGAACTCCAAGTGTGTTTTCTTTCCTCTCTCATTGCCCCACGTCACAATCTATTACCCTTGTTAATGGTTCCACATCTTCCATTTGTGGTGTTTGTAATGTTAACATGGACCCTGTATCCTTATCCACAGTTTTGTATGTCCCTAAATTTCCTTTTAATCTTATGTCAATTAGTAAGTTGACCAAGTCTCTTAATTGCTCCATTACCTTTTACCCCTCTTCATGTGTTTTTCAGGATCTCAAGACGGGGATGAAGATTGATGGAGGGCATGAAGCTGGTGGATTGTATTATCTTGATGGTGGTGGAAGTACGTCAACAGCTCTCCAATCGTCCCTCTCTCCTCTTCAGTGGCACTGTCAATTTGGTCATCCTTCACTGAAAACTTTGAAGTCTTTGGTTCCTTCATTGAGTCATCTTTCTATTTTGGATTGTGAGTCGTGTCAGTTTGGAAACATCATCATGTTCCCTTTAATCCTAGAGTTGATAATCGTGTATTGAGTCATTTTTCTTTGGTTCATTCAGATGTTTGGGGTCCTTATAAAGTGATGTCATACAATGAATATAAATATTTTGTCATTTTTGTTGATGATTATTCAAGGATGACGTGACTCTTTTTAATGAAAGAAAGAAGTGAATTATTTACCATTTTTCAAAAGTTTTATGCTGAGATTCGCAACCAATTTGGTGTTCACATTAAAATTTTTCGTTTTGATAATGACCGTGAATATCTCTCTTCATCATTTCAGGACTACGTAGACCAATATGGCATTATCCATCAGATTTCATGTACCTACACCCCACAACAAAACAGGGTGGCTAAGAGAAAGAATCGTCACCTCCTGGAAACATTTCGGTCCCTCATGCATCACATGAATGTTCCCAAATCCTTTTGGAGTGATGCAATGCTTACTTCCTACTTCTTGGTTAACCGGATGCCCACGTCTATCCTTGATGGTCATTCCCCATTCACCACATTATTTCCTACATTGTCTCCGTTTCCTTTCTCTCATCGAGTTTTTGGATGTGTTTGTTTTGTTCATAATATGGGCCAGGAATGGACAAATTAGATGCATGGTCTATTAAGTGCATCTTCCTTGGATATTCCTAGACTCAAAAGGGTATAAGTGTTATTACCCTAGCTCTTGACGTTCCTTTCTATGTGTTGATGTTATTTTTTTTTGAGTCTACTCCATTCTTCTTTGGGTCCGGTGATGTTTCTTCCTCCTCCTCATCACCTCCTCCCCTTCCTCTTCCAGTGCCACCACCTGTTGAACGACCACCGATCCATGACGTGTATACACATTGCCCACATGTACCGACACCTCCTCCAGCTTCATCATCGTCGACAGATTCGACAGCTGTTACCACACCAGCCTCGACCCTAGTATCTAATCTTGATTTTCCCATTGCCTTGTGGAAGGGTAAGCGCAGTTGTACCCTTCATCCTATTTCTAATTATGTTTCACTGACTCACCTTTCCACTTCCCATCGCTAGTTTATCTCTTTGTTATCCTCTGTTGTTATACCTAAGAATGTCCAAGAAGCCCTTGCCTCTCCAGGATGGTGCTGTGCGATGGAAGAAGAACTCTCAACTCTGGATCATAATCATACATGGGAACTTACCATTCTTCCTCATAGTAAACAGGTTGTTGGCTATAAGTGGGTTTATACGGTTAAGTACTTACCTGATGGTAGTGTAGAGTGGCTGAAAGCTAGATTGGTTGCCGAAGGGTATTCCCAAACCTATGGTTTTGATTACACAAAGACTTTCTCCCCGGTTTCTAAGATTGGTTCAGTCTGTGTTGTGATTCTTTTGCTGCGATGTATGATTGGCCCCTTTATCAACTTGATATCAATAATGCTTTCTTGCATGGTGATCTGTTCGAGGAGGTCTATATGGCGCAACCACTAGGGTTTGTTTCTCAGGGGGAGGATGGTAAGGTGTGCCAACTACCGAAGGCCATTTATGGGCTTAAATAGTCTCCTCGAGCATGGTTTGGTAGATTTAATGAGGTAGTAAAGAAGTTTGGTATGAAACAATGCCAAGTTGACCATTCCATCTTCAGTCATGCCTCTCAGGCAGGGAAGACCCTATTAGTGGTGTATGTAGATGATATTGTCATTACCATGAATGATAAAATGGGCATTGACAGGTTGAAGATCTTTTTGTAGGAACATTTTCAAACAAAGGACTTTGGTAAATTGAAGTATTTCTTGGGGATAGAAGTAGCAATGTCCAAGCATGGTATTAACTTGTGTTAGATGAAATATGCTCTTGATTTGCTTGAAGAAACAAGTTTGTTAGGTGTTAAACCAACTGAAACTCCTATGGAAACAAACACTAAGCTGAGCAGTGATATGGGTGCAGTGTTTGAACACTTGGCAGATATCGGCAGGTGGTAGGTAAACTGAACTACCTAACCATCACTCGGCCAGACATTTTATTCGTAGTTAGTGTGGTAAGTCAGTTCATGCAGAAACTTCTGGTTCCACATTGGGATGCGATTATAAGGATTGTAAGGTATTTAAAGGGGGCTTTTGGTCGTGGTTTGATATACAAAAGTGGTGGAAAACTTGAAGTAAAATGATATACTGATATTGATTGGGCTGGTTCTGTACCTGATAGGAGATCTACCATAGGCTGTTGCACTTTTGTTGGGGGTAATATGGTGACATGGAAAAGCAAGAAGCAGACTGTGGTGGCAAGAAGTAGTGTAGAGGTAGAATATAGAGCTGACACATACTACTTGTGAATTAGTGTGGCTAAGGAACCTTCTACAGGAGATGGGATACACTGTTGATACTCCAATGAAGCTCTACTGTGACAATTAGGCTGCAACTCACATTTCCTCTAATCCGGTGTTTCATGAGAGAACCAAACACATAGAGGTTGACTATCACTTTGTTAGAGAGAAGGTGCTGAGTGGAGTGATAGACACTGCATATGTCAATACAGGGAACTAGTGGGAAGATTTGTTTACTAAAGGATGTCCCTAACTTAAGTAGGGGCATATGTGACTTTTTCACATTACTTTAATAATATAAAATACATCTGGTCGAATGGGAGAGTGAACTTTTTCTCTCATTTGAACCAGAATTTTTTCTCCTTGTTTCTCTTCTGCTCTTCTTTTTTTTCTGTTTCTCTCCTTCTCTCTTCTCTCTCTCTCTCTTCCTTGACTGTTATCAGTCTAATAGGCAGACCAAACACTAACAGTTTGATTGTCTTTCCCTTAAACTAAAGGGGGAGAGAGAGATATGGGCGGAGGGAGTGGTTGCTGTTCTCTGGTTTGAGGATCGAAAGGTTAAAGATGAAATGACTACCGGAAGTGGGAAATGAGAAAGAATAAGGAGAGAGAGAGAGAGAGAATAAAATAAAATATAGAGAACCTCCTACAGTGAGTTGGACGGCCACCTCATTTCCTAGTTTGCGTTATTCCAACATAGAAGACGAAGAACAATGCCCATTTTTTGAATCAAGTTAAATGGCATTTTAACAAATTTTTCTTGTCAATCAATGCATCAACCCCCTAATGGAGTGGGGGCAAAGTGTTATGGGGTTAAGTGTCTGCAAAGTTCAGCGGAGCAAAATCAATATTGAGGATTGAAATATCAATACGATACTTACATCCGATATCCTAATTAGTGTTGTACTATTGTTAGATTTCAGTCTGATTGGTTTATTGAATCGGTATGAGATTGTAGCTATAGATCATGTTGGAAGCATTGTTAGTAGCAAATTCAGACTCTGGTTAATTGAGTGATTTTTTATTGTGGTTTCAGCATGACAAAATTGTTTCTAGGTCTCGTTTGTTTTCTAGGAAGTTGAGGCAGGTAAGTTGGTAAGTCCTATAGAAAATAAATAAATCCCTGTTCATATTTTGGTATTAGTAGGTCTCACAAAAAGAATGATTTTCAATCAACTCATTTATCTAAGCAAGTAATGTTCTCTTGAAACCTAGGTAAATCATTTATCCATCCACATAGAAAATTGTTAATAAGTGATGGGAATCCCTTATCCAGCCAGGAGAACTTCACCCACCCAACCAGCAAACCACATTCCAAATCAAAGCCTTTGATATGTATTGCCATGGCCCCAACTTGAATTAGAGGAAGTGATGTTTTGATCTGAGGCGATAATTCGTAGCAAGAGTTTACTCTCCACTCCAGTCAGATGCCCAACAATGGCATCCAAAATGATCACATATCTTATATAAAAATTCATTAGCTCAACCCTATATAAATAATAAATCTATGCTGTCTCATAGACATGGTAATCATTAAGAGGGTGTTCTTTTTTTGGATTTGGAGAGTGGGAACATGTTCATTTTTCAGATTTATTTGGGGACCAGTGAAAGTTTATTTTTCTTGGTATCACTTATATTCGGGTAAATGATATCTCTCCTAGGTGGATAAATTAACTTTCCTATCTAAGGAAAAGTTGCTGATACTTAGATGGGAAAAAAATACCCCTTTTAATAATAGAACTTTTATGGTTAAGATAGTCATTGCCTTGTTTAAATAAAAGAACATGATTACCTGAGTCCCAAATAAGTGCATTCACCCGGTAAGTGATTTATCGAAAAGCGAACGGGGCATAAGGGTATTTAGTACAATAATTTCATTTTACCGGACCGGTCCGACCAAAATAATGATAAAAAGGTATTTATTTATGGCATGATAATTAATAATTTCATTTCACCGGACTGGTCCGACCAAAAGATTGATAAAAAGGTACTCAGCGAGTCAGCACGATAATTTCATATCATCACGTCTCCGTCTCATGGCAGTGACACTGAAGCCTCTGACATCAGGTTCCATCTCGGCTATCATCTTATGTTGTCATTCTTGTTCACGACCTCCAATTTTGTTGCCGAGGAAACTTCAATTCCGAAGCTCTGCAATAAAAATGGAGACGACTGGGTACGAAGCACCCTCTTTTCCTCCCAAAATCATCGACTCACACTTGCATGTTTGGGCATCTCCCGAAGAGGTACACAACCAAAATCTCTTGCTACGCTAACCTCTTCAGGCTTATAATCTCTAGTCTGTTTCTTTTAATTATTTTTAATAATTTCCTTTTTTTCTTTGGGCATTTTGGTTTCTTTCCTTGCATTTTCTTTTCTCTCTTTGTAGGCAGCACATAAGTACCCGTATTTTCCAGGCCAAGAACCAACGTTACCTGGAAACGTCGATTTTTTGCTCCAGGTATGGTTGCTAACTCAGCCTTTTTCTGATTTTCCTATGGGTTACATATTTGTTTTAATTCTGAAACTCCTGGAGATTCACATTTCCTGGTAAAAATTTGTTGTTTTTAATAGAATTTCGGGGTTTTCTTGCCTTTTTTCTCAATTCTGTTAGCTTCAGTGCAAATATGTGAGCCCAATAGGCCCGTTTTACTCAATTTCGTGTCCCCCCTCTCCCCGCCCACAAAAAATAATGTTAATCTCAGAGAAAATAAGTAAACCCAAGCAGGCCAGAATGGAGGAAATCCATAGTTTTGTTTCATTATTTGTTTATGTGCGCGTAGAATGAGTAAATAGTCATATGAGTTGCAATATTTGTGAACAACGATGAGCGTTCGAGATATGCTTAATTTCGTTTCTTTGGGTTGTTTCCCTCAATCATTCTTAAACGTACGGCAGATACGTGATCACAAGCCCAAATGAACAAACTTCGGAATTTTTAATTCTTCATGTTCGAGTAGAATAAGAAAATAGTTCTAAGAGTTGTAGTAATTGTGAACACTATGAGTTTTCTTGTTTTGCCAAATCTTGTATTTTTTGAGTCCTTCCCGCTCGATTTTGTTAATCTTATGGCATATATTGGAATTCAAGTAAGGTCATTGTGTAAAAGCCGGAGTTCAGTTATTTGTGTATGTTTACAACAACTCAACAAGTACTTAGTCCTAACTGTGGCTGTACTTTCCAATACAATGGATCTACATTGCATGTCCTAATATTGGTGCCATGTCTAAATTACCAATTTTGTTTTAAAATTTTGACCTATCAACATATAGATTTTATAATTTTGACCAATTTGGTTTATGTTTTAGGTTAACAAACATGTAAAAAACCAAGACAGTAGATCGTATGTCACCTTAGGATCTGGAATCCAATGCAAGAAACCCTGTTTGATTTTCTTGGGTATAGCCGTATAGGGAGAAAACCATGGAGAACTCAAATAAAGGGGCTTTACAGAGTTCTATCTCATGATGTGGAGAAAAGAGAGAGAGGTAGGGTCTTGATCTCTCTGATTTTTTAACAGAATACAACTATACTATGTCGTATTTAGTGGCCTTGTAACAAATGAAATAAGAAAAGATAATATTTCATGAATATAAAAAAAAAAGATAATATTGGGAATTGGTAGCAAAAGCTCTATTGTGAAGGAAAGACCTGTTACAGTCTGAATGGCCCCCTCAAGAATGATTCATTTAGTTAAATTTTGATGACAGCAACCTAGGTAACCCACGGCTGTCTGGAATTGGGGGAGTCTTCAGGAATATGGAAGGTCATATTCTTGTGTTATTCTCAGGTCATATAGGAGTGGGGATTCTGTGCATGCTGAGTTCCAAGCACTGTTGTAGGGAGTACAGATTGCTAGAGAGCTGAACTATGATAGATTGTTAATTGAGGATGATTTTAAACTGGTACTTGGGTGGTTGAAGGAACTGGATACAGTAATCCAGACCTATAGGGAAGCAATGAAAAGATTTAAATGGCTGACCACAAACATGACCATAAGAATTCAATGGGAAAGGAGATTGGCTAAAGGGGTGGCAAAACTTTTTATCCAAGCAAGGGATGCATAAGAATTGGTTATATTGGGTTCAATTGTAATTCTGCTTGTGTAATTGAGGCTGCATCTTGTGCCTCTGTATGGGAAGCCCTCTTTATTGATCATTATAAAACTTTTACTAATCAAAAAAAAAAAAAATTCATGTCTTTTTCTTTTTTACATTAGGATATGTGTCTGGTTTAGAATTGCAAGGTCTATCCTTTTTGTGCACCTTTGCACCTTCTACCTCAAGGAATATATCTCACAAGTGCAAGGCTTAGGCTTAGTTGTCCATTTTTGAGGCTAGTCTTGAGGCATTTTGGCTCTGCCTGGCCTTGAGGTGTACACCTTCTTTTATTGGTAAAGTTGAAAATTGTATTGATAATGAGAAAAGAGTACTATTTACAAATACAATGAAAAGAAAACTCTAATGTTTTTCTTATCTTGCCACCTAACCCCATATCTGCTATTTACATGTAGCATTAAGTGATGTTGGATGTTGCCATGTTCCGTGACTAGTTTCCCTTCTTAGGAATCTATTTGGTTTCCCTCAATATCTGCAGATGTTGGATGTTGCCATGTTCCGTGACTATTTTTCCTTATCTGCTACCACTGTTTTAAGATTCTCTTCCAGCATTATGTTATGTAAATTTAGCCTCTTACATAGCTTTAATTCTTGAAGGATGGCATGCAGTTCAACTATAATAGTCACTCACACCTATTGCTCCCAAGTAGAGAGTGCAATGATTGAACCTGAATTGTATCTAAATACTTTCATGCCTGAAATACCTGAATTTCTAAGACTACAGCCATCAACAATGAATTTGATTTGATTCATAGCAGGAGGAATCCATTCTCTTGAGATGTTGATCCTTGAAGTTGTAGGGCGAAATGCCTGCTATTACACTCCAATTATATTATTGTTACATTGGTTGCACACCTTTTTAAACCGTAGTTGTTACTTTAGATGTTGTATGTTCATTTTGCATATACATCAACCGCTGACTCCATTACTGTTGAGCTCAAACTTTTAAAACTATTGAATTACATGTACATGTTGGGATAGACAATAGCTTGGCATGCTTGTAATTAATAAATAGAATATATGCTAGAGATTTTTACTTAAATTATAGAAATTTGTGGTCTCATTAGTTTAATATTAGATGTTTCTTGAGTTGGTTAGTGATGATGCACGATCTGGCCGGTCTTTAGCTGTTGATGATCTTGCCTCCGAAATGAGTAACAGGGACCTGAAACGGGAGGAGAAGAGAGGCTCCGGGGAGAACCCGGCGTAAGGGCTCCGAAGCTCAAGTTAGAGTCTTTCAAAGGCAAGAATAACCAGATAGCGCGGAAGTTAGCATACCTCATCCCTGGGGGGGTAGAAGCCTTTTATAACCACCTCGCGCACT